AAACAAACAAGAACTGTAGAGTATGGTGGCCTAATGACCAATTGACCAATCAGGAATCATGTTAGAATCAAACAAAGTTATTATCACATTGTATAATGACATCACAGCATGTTGCTAGTGTGTGATAAATTCCCTCAAAAAAATTAAAATTAAGACTAATCTTCTCTGGWCTCTTTGAAAGTGAAACAAAATAATAATATCAATGATAGCTCTGTTGTATTATGTTAATTAGCCATGATGCTAATGTAGGTATGAGAGACTGGAAACTAATATAGTGAGTTGACCAAGAGGAATAAACATGTTGTGTGCAAGGAGCTAAAAAGGTTCTGCCTAGAGGGATGACCAATCAAAGACAGACTGACAACATCACTGAAACCATACTGGAGTGAAAGAGCATCACTCGCAGTCGTTAACAATCTTCTTGTTAAAGAGTCAAGGATCGTAATGCCATCAGCCATGCGCTTGGAAGTACTGGATAAGATCCATGAGGGACACGAGGGAATAACCAAGTGTAGAGCCCGAGCAAAAAGTGCTGTTTGGTGGCCTGGACTCAGCTGAGAAATACAAGACATGGTTAGTAATAATTGCAGAATTTGTGCAAAACAGCAAGAGGCCAGAAAGGAACCACTTATGCCAACTCCTATGCCAGAAYGCCCCTGGCAAGTCATAGCTACTGACTTATTTCAGCTACAAAGTGACATTTACCTACTCATMATAGACTATTTCTCAAGATATGTTGAAGTGGCAAAGGTAACCCAGTCACAGACATCACAGGAAATCATAAAGAAGTTAAAGGAAGTCTTCGCAAGACATGGTRTWCCTGAGCAGATAAGATCTGACAATGGACCRCAGTACTCTTCAGCAGAGTTTGCTCAATTTGTAAAGGAGTGGGGAATCAAACACACCACTAGCAGTCCAAAGTTCCCCAGTTCCAATGGCGAAGTTGAGAGAGGTGTTAGAACCGTAAAGAATCTGTTAAAGAAAGGTGAGGACCACTGGAAAGCACTCTTATCATACAGATCCACCCCATTAGCCTGCGGACATTCCCCAGCGGAGCTGTTGATGGGCAGGAAGCTAAGAACAACATTGCCAATGTTGCCATCTGCCTTGACACCAAAGTGGCCAAACATGGAAGTTCTCCAAAAGATGGAAGCTGAGAGCAGAGAGAAAATGAGAAAAAACTACAACGAGAAACATGCAACACATCAGCAAGTTGCACTTCAGCCTGAAGAGAAGGTATTCATAAAAGACATGGGAGTGGAAGGCAATGTTAAAGAGTCAGCACAAACTCCAAGATCCTACCATGTACAGACACCTAAAGGCCTAATTAGAAGAAACCGCTCACATCTAGTGAAGTTGCCTGAAGCAGACAAGGAGGACAACTCACCACAGCCGGATCGAGACCTGCAAGTGAAACTACCCCCATCACCTTGCCTGGACTTAAGACCGAAGAGAATCATAAAGCCATCACTAAAATTAAGAGAAAGCTTGGGACTCACTCAAATATATGTTACAATTTATGTTTGTTTGTAGCAACGTTGAACATTGAGTGACTATTTTGAACCATGTTAGTTCAGTCATTATAAACCCCAAAAGCATTATATTTTCAAGTGTTAACCCTAATAAGGGGAGATGTTGTATTATGTTAATTAGCCATGCTAATGTAKGTATGAGAGAGACTGGAAACTAATATACATGTAGTGAGTTGACCACGAGGAATAAACATGGCGGACGCAAGTTTGTATTGTCATACTTCACTCGTCAATAATTCAACAAGCTCCTCTCTATTGATCTCTTATAAGCCCCCTTAATGAATCAAAAGTACCAACTGTAGTTGCTATTAAAAATAAACAATCCAGTAAGATGTCCAATTTCTATATGAATTCATCTAATTGCTCAACTTTGTAGACTTTGAGTGAAGCATAAGGGATTTACTTTGAAGTATTAGTCTGAAGGCAAATCCTCTGATATACCAACAGAAAAACCAAGTGTTGAAAAATCGATCAAACGTTATGTCAGAATTGTTAAAATTCCTTGCTCTTGGTCCAATTTTCAGATGCTTATAACCCTGCAATGATTCAAGTTATGGCAAATATACACCACTAAGCTTAGAGTGCATGTTCTTTCCTATCACAGAACTATGCTTTGAAATAGTGGTGCTTGATCTGCACACTCTTTTTGCATTGCATCTACATGTATGGCAATAAATCATTTCATATCAAAGCCAAAGTCAAAGAAATGCTGTAGTTTAACCTATATCTACCATGCATATCATATCTAGATGTCAACAAATCATGTGTTCTTAAAATCATCATAACAAGAGAGCTGCAGCTTGACCAGTGAATGGTAATACCTGGAAATAAACCTCTAAGATCACAGCACTAGGATTGATTTTGATGCGAATGTTTTTTGATTGTTGAAAATGAGAATTTTCTCCAAAAAAGCTTAAAAAGTGCAAGTTTTACCTTCTAAAATAATCAAAAGTTCAATTCATTTACTTTNTGTTGACTGACACCTTGCTCCACTTTAAAGAATCATTAGATAAAGATCAACACATTGATATCTTACAAGCTGCCATAGACAGGTTAAGTTTTGTTCAGTCACATGAGTGAACTACAAGACAGAGTAAGATCTTGATGAATATAAAGACTAGCGAGTACTGCAGTACAAAGGTGAATATAGCTAGTGTCCCATCATGTAAGCAAAATTGCTCAAGACACAATCAGCACCTAAAGAAATATTAATATGATATTAATCATTATTATGAGGAAGCAGCTAATCCCATTAAAGGGTACGATATTATTATTTTATAATCATTATACTCACAATATTAATTCTTTAAAATATATTTCATAATTAACTTATTTACTTTTATCAATTTAATATTACTTTATATAAAATAATTAAATTGCTGAAGATACAGACACAAGGTCTCACTGCAATCGATGGCAGTCAAAGAATAAAAGATGCTTGAACTGGGAACATTGAATAAGGCAAGTCTCAGATTCTGCTCAGCGATTCTAGTTCATAAAAAAATCTATAGGTAGTACTTCATTTAATTAAATTAATATTTTGACCATAAAGTATTTAGACTTTGTCAAGGTTTATACAAGAGCCCTGTCTTGGAAAAAGAATTACCTTGTTTTTGAAACCTTTTTTTAATCTTTTAATCTTTTATGATTAGAATTAAATTCTTAAAACCAGACAATTGTTTATTTTTATAAACTTTTTGTAGAAAAAAATATACAATACTTGTGTCCAGATTTTGAAATAATCTTTGCCAAAGCTGGGAGCTCAGTCAATTTGAACTGCTTGATGATTTCCTTTTAAATGATCCTACATACCAGCAGATAGAATTCTGTTTATCTTGCTTCTCATGTTCAACAGTAGTAGTGTGTCCAGCCATTGATTCAATGTATATTAAGTCATAAGATAATATTGTACAAGTTTGATTGATGGCTACGCTGCTGGTAGTTTATTCTCTTGATTTACGGATCAAATAATTTGAATGATGAAGGTCCAGATAAAGCAAGCAGTCAATGATACAATGTCTTTGATACCTTTGATTATTAAAGTTTGTAAAACCAATCAGTGCCGTCAGTACTTCTAATAATGTTCAATTTTGTAGTAAATATCCATGAGTCAGTAGAAATTGCCAAAGTATTTTTGTTACT